ACGATGTCACCAAGTTGAAAAACCGGTTCCTGTACGCTCAGCGAAGGTAAGGTATATCGAGCCTGGTTAGTATCAAGATGGGTGACCACTTGGGAATACGAGGTACTGCTGCCTTGGATGTGTGGGTGGCGTAAAGGATAATGACTTGGCATTTTTAATTGGCTCTCCGAGTTTCAAATCACGTTCAGTTCATTATATTCACATTCGAGCTTGGAATAGTTATGGATTCATCACCTCCCCACCCGGTTTCAAGTTAATTATTAAGATTTGTACAACTAAATATAATTATACTTTCCAAACACACACATTATCGCAATCTTAATTATTTTCTGGTTTTCAATATCCGGCAAAGGATTGATAAACTTCAGAAAACAAAACAAAACCTTTTATCAAAACAAACCGCTATTATGACACGCACTTAATCACTTACCAACTCAACTACAGCTTGGTCTTGCGACATGTCATTACAGAAGCAACTCCACATAGCGAGGAATTTTATACTATAGTTAGCGATAATATAAGATAAGGTTTGTTGTGTAACTTACAACACCTATTATTTAGCAAGTGATCACCCATCGTTGTACTGACCAGGATTAACATTGCTTAACTTCGATGATCTTATGTGAACTGGTGTGATAATAATTCTATCCTGAAAAAATGAAAATCTTTTATTAGGTAACCAATAATAAGTCATTCCGATTGACACCATCTTAAGTAGTTGCAGTTCTGTTTAGCAAGTGATCACCCATCTTTGTACTGACCAGGCTCAACGTTGCTTATCTTAGATGATCTTATATGAACTGGTGTGGTAATAATTCGGACATGAAATAATTACAATCTTTTATTAGGTAACTAATAATATGTCATTCCAATTGGCACCATCTTAACTGGTTGCAGTTCTTTTTCTTAAAACTTCCTTGTTTGACGCATACCACGTCCATGGTGCTCTCATCATTCGTACGAAGAACCACGAATCTACCTGTTCAAGTTTCACAAATGTGTGAGAAGTGTTCAACATTCACCTCTGTATAGAAGATTAGATGTTCTTCAGTTGAACAACATTTGGTCTGTTACTAAATAACATCATCAGATTTACTAGAGACAGCGAAAAAGAAGAGAATGTCTGAAGGAGAACCTGATCAGGATTATTATCTCGATTCTGATGAATAAATCTCGAGCTCTGAGTCTCAGCAACCAAATGGTTTGAGGCAGTAGAGTTCTTATGGAAAATAGTGATATAGGCACGATACCCCGTAAATACCGTCTTATCGTATCTCAAGATCAGATGCCACAGCTGCCGAGAAAGCAGATAAGAGAATTGTTCAGTATTTCAACAGGCAACACACGTCTATTGCCAGAGGAAGATAAACTGTGCCAAAAACGAATCAAATGTACAAAGCTGTGACGCAGTCGATCAAATATTTGTGAAAATTTCCGAAAAGTGTTGAGCATGAATAGTTGCGTTCTTTTCATAGTTAGCAATTTCTGATATACATGGCTAGCTTTTACTCTTTAATACGAAATCAAATAGGAAAATATGTGTATCATCTTAGTGAATCGGAAATCCTTGTTCTCTTCCGGGTATCCAGTGGGAACTGATGGAATTGTGTGAACGTTAATATCCATTTTTATGAAATGAGGCCAAAAAAGATTATCGCTGGGATCAGAATAAGACTCATAATCAGGGAGTAAATCATTGATTAACTAATCAATATATTTTTAGGGTTTAAATACTTTAAGACTTTCGATCAAATATTTGTGAAATTTTTTTGACATTTGACATGAATTGTACATTCAAATTAAACGTCATACACTTTTGTTTTGGGGCATTTGGGCATTTGTAGCTGTGTTCTTTTTATAGTCATCAATTGATAATATATTTAAATGTGAAACGAAATGGCGAATTTGGGCATTTTTAGCTGTGTTCTTTTTATTATTGATAATAAACTGGCTTTTTTTTCTTTTAAATGTGAAACGAAATAAAAAATAGGTGTGTCATTTTAGTGGATTTGATGTAGGTGCTCTATTCAAGACAACCAGTTTAAACTATTTATCCGAGCGAATGGTTCAAGTATAGAAACCAGAAAACTTGAACCATGTCAGCAGATTTATACCACGTAAATATGTTCTTTCATCTGCGGATATAAGATATTAAATCATTAAACAATTTGCTAAAATGAATTGTACTCATAAACATACCACAAATTAAACGTCATACACTTTTGTTTCGGTGAAAAAGGTGGGCGCGAATAAAGTGGCATTATTTGAACTATGTTGTTCGACTTCATTTGATATCTAATGACTCTAAGATGAACTTCAATATGACTAGCAATCGCTTTTCTATTTTTTGAAGATGAGGCGCAAAATTAACTACTGATGTCAGTCCCAAAAGTGTTAACTAATGGGTTGGGGGGAAACGGTTGATGTGACGTCAGAAGTTTTCCTAGAAATTGAAGGTGCCGGAGGAACTGGATTATTTTCTTTTTATACCCGTAGGTTTCCTACTTTAAAGTTAGGTTTGTGCCATATTCCATTGTACATAGCGTTAGGATAAATAAACCATCTTAATAATAATATTTTTTACACTTTACTTTTATGAGACGTATAGTTAATTGAGATCACTCTAAATTGGAGTCTATCTTAATGTAAATTACCTCTATTTTGCGAGTGAAGTAGAGTTTGAAACGTCAACAATTGAGGAGTGAGAAAGTAGTTTATTTCTGGTCGCTTGTATCCATGAAACTCCAAATTTAATCAAGTTCTTGAACCAGATTCTATTTGCGAGAGTGTGTGAATAAAAGCTTCTTCAGAGTTTCTGGTTTTTAAGGCAAGATTTTAATAAGGCCCAGTTTCAGATGCTCGGTACCCCCCCAGGGCATATATTTCTCTCTGGGAAGTACTAGGCTTAATCCTTGGCGCCTGACGTTATTGCAAAGGAGAAAAGGCACCGGAGATAATTTCGTCTCCATACCCACAAGTAACAGTGTAACTCACATTAATTTTAACACGTCATTGTACTCCATACCGTTCGAATGTTCCTAAGGATAAATAAGCATCTCGCTATATAAAAGATAAATAAAATATCTTATATATCTTATGACGACTCTTGATTCTGACTTCTTTCTCCTTTTAATTTTTGATATTACATCTTCGGCATATCATGTAGAACACGTGCCCCTTTTTATCAGTAATTAAATTTCTTTTTTGCCTACATTTTCCGTAATAGAATACACACGAAAACTTTCGCTAGGTAAATCGCCATTTTTTTTGCTACATATGTTAATGTAGGTTTCAATCAATTGAAGTTTGAATAGAATGATATGTTATTAGTGGGTCAGATTTGCATTACTGAATACCTATTTTATGATTTCTGTTTGGTTGGACAAGCGTATAATCAGGTCCATCATGAACATGAGAATATAATGTTATTTGCTGCAATTTTAACAAGAATATACAATTTTATCATCTATTGAAATATTATTACTCGAAACTATCATACTTATCTTTAACATTTGAAGTTCGTCAGTATTAATTTTAAGACATGCCCTTAAAATTTCAAGTCATATGGTAAATAATGAATTAGTGAAATATGTATATAATTCCATATCTATTTAGCAAAGCTGTGGAACGAAATGAACCTTAGTTTCAGTCACATTAAACTATGACCTGTACAACATCTGATATTATCGGTATTTCACTAGCAATAGCGGAAAATTTCGCATACCATCATTTTTCTTTAGAATTAAAGTGTGATTTTTTTACAAAAGATGATACTAATTAAGGCATTTTTCTTTTGAAGTACATTTGCAATAAGGTCCCTGAGCAATGAATAGGAAGCTACTGTTCAGACTATTAATATGAAAGTTATTAGTAAGAGTTACAGCCTAAGGTTTGCGTTCAGTGTATACATCAGCATCAAGCAGGTACAGAATATACCGAAGTACTAAAAGAAGTAATTAAATGTCACACAGAAATACGAAAGCACATTGGAATAGCAAAATAAGATTCTCAGAGAGAATTAACTCAAATAAAGATCTTATATGATAATTTAACGTTGGGAAATTTATTTAGATATCTGGAAAAGACGCGAGGCAATAGTTATTTGATATTAAAAACTGACTCTGAGAAGATCATTGGCTGAACATGCGAGAAAATGGATTTAAGAGAGTTTGAACACACGGGTGATAGTGAACGCAGCGAGTGTCTGATACAAAAAAAGTACAAAATTACCTTACGTGATTGCGTGAATGGATAGCATTCACACAAAAAAGGTAACATAGAGACTCAAACAGAGCTTATTTTTAAAATGTCAAGGACGTCACGGAGAGGCAAAATCTTTCACGTTCGGAATTAACACGGCACTTAATGAAAATCTGTAATCAATTTAGAATTAATAGACTCGTGTCGACTACTCTTAGGTTAATCTACAAAGAAGTATATTTCAATGACTAAGATTGAATAAAATTTTATCAATGGCACCGATATTCAAAAAGCGTAAAATCATTTCATGGTTACTTATTTTACAGCATCGTTTTATTATGGCAATTGCCAGGTGATGCAATAGTCAATGTACTCTTTAAACAAAATAGCCGCACATAAACAAAAGTGATTTTTTATAGCCCTACGTCTCTTATATTAATGCTAGTAAGTATGTTTTATATTTAAGTAGTGGAATTATCAATGTAAGTAATGTGGTTAATCGAAATAAGTGAATCATAATTTAGCTGTATGGAAATGCTAGCAAGATAAGAAATAATATATATTTAAAAATTCAATATATATATATATATATATATATATATATATATATATATATATATATATATATATATATTTGTGTATATATTGATGTAATAGGAAAGAACATTTAACGATATAAAATTCTGTAGTATTTATGTATTTATTTTTAAAAAATAGTGCTCGATACAAAAGTACAGCTTAAGTTATATTTATTCATTTAAAAAAACATGGTTCCATCGCGACGCAGAAATTACTCTGTTTCGAAACTTGACTCAAGTCCGAAAGTTTAATATCATCTCAAGCGATGTTTTATAATAAGTCACTGAAGAAATCCTTTACTCATTTATAGGTTGGAAATGAAGGTGTAACCT